TGCCCCCCCGGTGGTGCCCCCCGGTGACGGCGGTGTCCCCGCAGGGCGCGGGCGGGCTGTGCCCCGCTGCTGGAGGTGGAGGACATGGTGCGGCTGCCGGTGCCCGACGCCAAGTGCGTCTACACCTACCTGCAGGAGCTGTACCGCTGCCTGGTGGCCATGGGGCTGGTGAAGACCAAGAAGCGCTGAGTGGGGGGCGCTGGGCTGACCTCGGTTGGGCGCCGTGTGCCCACCCAGCCGCTCGGTCGCCCCCCCCCTCGGCAGGGTGGGAGGGGGAGAAAATGGGATGGAAAAAACCCCTCATGGGTGAAGACAAAGGCAGAGTAATAAAGCAGGAGCAAAGTCGTGCCCAGAAGCAAAGGAAAACAAAGGATTTATTCTCCGCTCCCCGTCCCCAGTGACGCCCGGCCCTTCCCGGGCAGCGGGGGCTTTGGGGCGCTCCAGAAGAAAAACTTCGCAATAACAAATGCCCCCCCCCAAGCTCCCTCCCTTTCTCTTGGCTTTTATTGCTGAGCACCACGTCATATGGTCTGGAATGTCCCTTTGGTCACTTGGGGTCATCCGTCCTGGCCATGTCCCCTTCCAAGAGTGTCCCCCCCTGGCCCATCGCTGGGTGGGGGGGCGTTGGGAGCAGCCCCGGTGCTGCCAGCGCTGCCCAGGACACCGGGGTGCCACCACTAACCACACCTCAGCCAGACCCAACACAGGGGGGTCCCCCATGGTCCCCACCCGTGCCACCCCCCCAGCAGCAAAGGGGAAGCCCGACTGTGGTGGCCTTGTCCCTCAAGGGGGACACGTAGGCACGGGGACACCAGCACCAGGCGAGTGTCTGGAGGGCAGCAGGAGCCAGCAGTGGGGGGAGGACACAGCCCTGGCACGGCCCCACTGCCATCGCAGAGGGGACAGGCAAGCTGGGCAGCCCCCAAAGGGTGGCCCGGAGGGGGGCAGCTCCTCCCGCTGCCCCCCCCCATCCCCAAGAGGCATCACTGGGCCAAACCTGGAGTGTGAGAAAATTTATCAATATGTGTAAACTGAGAAAGAGGTGCCCCAGCCCCGAGGAGGGGGCGATGCCAGGGCCGGCCCCGGGGCAGGGGGGTCTCAGGGGGCGGGGGGATCATGGCGGGGCTCAGCATGGCGGCGGGTGTGCTCCTCCGCCCGGCGCATGAAATCCTCGGGGTGGTCCTGGAGCTGCCGGGCCAGATCCTGCCGCAGCACCCGCTGGGGGTCCGGGCTCTCCAGCAGCTGCAGCAGGTCCTGCAGCACTGCGGGGGCAGCGGGGGCGTCAGGGCAGGCAACCCCCCCCTGCCGTGCCCCCCATCCCTGACCCCACGTTGCCCACCTTGGA